TAAATTTATTAATTAATTTAAATGAATTGATACAAAATAAAAAATCCAATTTAAATAAAAACCCAACGAAATCAATTAAAACCTAATGAAATACTTGGAAAGCATTTTTTATATACAGACATAATAAATTAAGTTTTCTTTTTTAGCTGCTTTGCAAGGCACTCGAGCATCGATGAGACTGCGATATATGTATGTATATGTGTGTGTGTGTGTGTGTGCAGCATATTTGGGGCACAGTTATTGGCATTGAGACACGCATTGTAAATGAGCTGATTTTGCGAGCAGCAGCAGTAAGCCAAGTTGAGCTGCTGCCACATAAATACCAAAAAGTCAGTGGGCAGGAGGCGGAGGGGCTAGACTGATGAGCTAAGCAGCTGAATGTTTAGTTGATGATGCACACACACACACACACACACACACACACGCATACACTCAGAAATTCCAATGAAAAGACAATTGGAAAATAAAAGCCAAATAGTCGAAAAGGCGAAATGAAATGAAATTATGTGACGCTCTCGATGATTAGCTAAAGTAGCGTATAAATTGTGTGTGTGTGGTTTTTTTTTCTGGGTTGGGTTGGGATTAAGCGAAGCATGTCGAGCACTATAGACTACATTAAAACACGCTGTGGCTTTTAATGTGGCACACAACTCGTACCGCTCTCTCTCCCTCTCCCTCTCCCTCTCTATATATATAAATCGAGGCACTCAATCAGCCTAATTGGAAACAATAAAACGCATTTTAACGCGAAATTTTCTTTACAGCTCATTTGATTTTCAACGCGCCGACTCGTAGCCAAACTTTTCGAAGCACTCCACACTACAGCAGAGCAGAGCGAGGCACACATTGCCCCATTATTCATCCATACAGTCAAGCAACCACTCATCGATGCATTCAATTGAATGGCATCAAAAAAAAAAAAAGAGTTGAAAAGGAAAAAAAAAAAAAACAAGCCAGCTGAAGAAAGAAGAAAAGTTATTGCCGGGGTTGAGCGAAAAGTTCGACAGATCATTGGCGAAAGATTTTACATTTTGCATTTTGTGGCATTTGCCGCCCCCTTCCGCTAGCCAGACAAGCCCCCAAAAACAGCCAACTACTCCGCCCATAGCCAAAAAACAAAGAAACAAAGAAAAAACAACTCACATTTCGCATCTGGCAGGCAATTTTTTGATATACGACTTTCGTGGCGAAAACAAACAAATTTGCAGGCGGTCGAGAAAGAAAAGTTCATAATTTTGCTGGCTTTTTAATTAAATGCCAAAGCAGCGAGCGAGTGCAAAACACATGCAAAAAGAAAAGTGCGAATGGAAAGGCACACACACACACTTACACACACACACAACAAACAAGCCGAAGAAGAAGAAGATGCAGAGAGCGGCGCATTGACGAGGAGGAGTCGGAAGAAAACATGTGAAATTCATTTGGCACCATGCGAATGAGTGCGAATGCGAGTGCGCGTTGCCATAGACCGAGCAGAGACCGTGGGACTACATCGACGGCTAGCGATAGATAAGCCCGGGCCAGGCCGGAAGAATGCTGGGTAAGGGGCAAGGCGGTCGAACGGGGCAGCAGAAGGAGGAGCAGGCACAGGAACCGGGACCTGACTCTGGCGAGTTATGCGACCGTTTGCAAAACAACAAATTATGGCCCAAACAGGCCTCGGCCCAAAGCGGCTGGCCATCATCTCATCTCTCTATCCCTCGCGCCCTGCCTCTCTTACTCTCTCCATAAACTGGCTACAAAATGTCTACATTTTTATTTCATTTTCACATTTTCGTTAGTTTTCAGAAGGCGGCAGCAGCACAGACTCGAAATATCGAAGCTACACGTATACAATTCCAATAGAGATGCCGCGATGCATGAGGGGAGGGGGGCATACACTCCATATAGACGCATATTCATATGCAGCTGAAGTGATCGCCGACCAAACAAGCGCCACGGCCTTAAATAGACGGGGCCAGCAACTCAATTTATGCA